GGCAGTCGCCCACCACGGCCGTCTCACCGGTATCTGCCTCCCCGCCAGGTCCCAGGCCAGGCTCTCATCAGTCGCCCCCACCAGGTAGCACCGCACCCCCGCCGCGTCCAGCGCCCCCACCCAGTTGAGCAGCAGGTCGAGCCGCGCGCTCGATGCCACCGTCACAATAAGGCTGCCGTCGGGGCAGGCCATTGCACGCGCGAGGTCCGAGCTCAGCGGCTGCGGCGTCGGGGGGACTGGGCGGCGCGCGGCGGGCTCGCCGGGGCCCGCGGGCGGGGCTGCTGCTGCTGATGCTGCGGCGGAGGCGACAGCGGCTGACGGCAATGCGCCCCTGCGCGTGTGATGGCGGGGGCCGGGTGATGCGTGCTGGGGTGCAGTGGCATGTGTCGTCCAGGCGGGCTGCACGCAGCAGCACCAGGGACAGCCCTGTGAGGGCCCGAGATGAGCTCTGGCGGTCTCTGAGAGCAGCACACCGCCCGACCAGCTCAACCAAGCCTGGGTCCACCGTCTGCACTCAAATGAATCACGGAGCGAGCCTCCTGCATGCATGCACGCATGCACGCGGTTCCGCCGTGGATGCACGCATGCATGCTCGCGGCGTTGCGACCCGAAGCCATGCGGGCGGTGGCCCTCCCCCCCCTCCCCCCCTGTGGCTCCTCACGCAGCGGCGGCGGCGCCATGCAGCGCGCCCCTCTTGCGCGCCCCTGCCCGCGCCGCCTCCGCCTCCGCCGCGTGGCGCTTGCGCAACTCCAGCATCACGGCTATGAAGTCCTGCTTGCCGCCAGAGTTGGAGGCCGCCTCCCATATTTCACTCCACTGGCGCAGCAGCTGCGCCTCGGAGTGCGCGCCGGCCCCTACGCGCGGCAGAAGCGGCGGCGGCGGCGAGAAGAGGGTGGGGGATCGGTGGGGTGGTGAGAGGGAGCAGTCAGCAGGCAATGTCGGTGTCGCGCTGGGCGGGGGCGGCTGGGAGGGGCCCGTGGGCGCCGGCAGGTGGGGCCAGCAGCCGCTATCAGAGTCGCGAGCGCCGCCGCCGCTGCCATAGCTGCGTCGGGGTTACGGCCGGCGAGCAGAGCACCGGGGGTTGTATGGGTGCGGCGCTGCCCCGCCCGCCCACCGGGGTCGTCTCCGCTCTCAAAATAGCTGTAGTGCTGGTGTAGCGCGCTGACCACGATGGCGTGCTGTGCCGGGGGAATCGCAGGGGCGAGGTGGGTTAAGAGCGGCTGTGTGTGGTGCCCCGCAGCCCTCTATCAGCAACACTCGTAGAGCAGCATGCCTGCGGGATGCTGCGCCGCTGCAATCCTGCAACATTGAAGCGGCGCCACGGCTGTACACGCCAAACCCACAGGTTGACGTGGCGACGGCGCGACGCCCTTTCTTGCCTGATGGATGAGGTTATATGCCCACAGGCACGCCAGCAGGCCCGACAGCAGCGCCAGCGCTGCCGTCATCCAAGCTCGCCGGCTGCCACTGCCGCCGCTGCCCCCAGCAGGAGTGCGGCGCGCCACGCCATGGAAGTGGTGCGCGTGCTGGTGAGCTGGCAGCGCGCCACGTCCGTCCAAGTGCTCGTCCCCTTTGATCATATATCCTCTGCGCGATCACCGTGGCAGGCCCATTGACAAGCTTGTCAAGCAGCCTGCCAAGAAATTTTACAGCTTGGTGATCAACCTGGTCAAAGGGTGCTGAGATGATGCGAGTGGGTTGTAAGGATGTTCTTGACCATTTTATAGCTGTGCAGGCGATGTGTTGCAGATTTGTCGTTCGGTTGTGTCTGGTGAGGACAAGAACGAACGTTGTGGTGTACCGTACCTTTGTCCTGATCAAACCCGAATTTCCCAATCTTTGGTTGTGGTCACGGCGTGTATACAGTACGTTCGCAGCACGGCGGTCACCTGATCAAGCCGCTGCTGCGCACGACATTATGCCGCCCCTCCTGGGGGCTAACCCAGCTGCGCTGTTCGCTGCAGCAAGAGGTCTTCATGGGCTTCTCAACGCGCCCGGCTTGTGCGCGTGGGCCCTGCCCGTTCTGTCAAGCAAGTGGCACTCGCAGCTGCGAAGCATCACCACTGCCCGCGGCCTGAGCTCGGCGGTTCCGGAGCAGCAGCAAGGATTAGAGGAGGTGTTTGAAGGCCTGGAAGAGGCGTCCATAAACGCCCTGGAGGGAGATGTAAGTGCGGTCGGGCAGACGCAGCGCGCACCGCTTGCCGCCGCGATGTGCTGCATGCAGCCGTCGCCACATCCTGCCCGCATGGGCCCTCGTCGCCAAGGCTCCTGGCCCTCACATCCTGCACAGGCCTCCTCCCTCGCACTCGGCGCCGCGGCGGCTCTGCAGCGCGCGGGCGCGGCCGAGGCCGCGTCGGCCGCGGAAGCTTGGGGATTCGTGGATGCCGAGGAAGCAGCAGCGGCGGCGCAGGAGCCGCCCAGCGAAGGCGCGGTGCACTACCGGACGTCAGTGCCTCTGTGGAACACAATCGTGGCGCACTACGGCCAGCTGCAGCAGACGATGCCCGAGTACACGGCGCGCGTGGACCTGGACACGTTTGGGTCGCTGTATGTGGAGCAGGTGGGGCGGCGGGGCGCAGCATGCCCTGTGTTTGGGGAGGAATGGCGTACATGGGTAGATCGAGTCACAAGGAGGCGACGGCGAGCAAGCTTCGGCAGTCTCTTGAGGCAGCTGGATTGAACCAGGCAAACATGGCGGCGCCGCTAGCAGCAGCGCACGTAGCCAGGCCACGGCCACGTGGCCGCTGCCTTGTGTTGCGACAGGTCAGTATTTGGCAAAGGGTGCCGAGCGAAGCAGCCGCCCGCCTCCAAAACCTTTTTCCTGCCGCTGACCTCCGGCGGCCGCCGTTTATTTAATCCCGATCGGTCCTTCCTCCCCTTCTCTTCCTGACGTCCTGTCGCGCAACCAGATGCGGCGGGAGGAGCAGGCGCGCCAGATGGCCCTGATCAGCCACCACGAGCAGGTGGCCAAGGATGCCAAGGCGGGCCGGCCCTCGCGGCAGGTGCGGGGCACTCTGGTTTGCATCTGCCGGCGCCTGGGGCGGGGTGGGGGAACGGGGCCGCAAGGCGGGGCGAGGCCCGGCGGCGGGCCGATTGTCAGAAGGCGCACGCCGCGGGCGGTGTCTCGTATCAAACAGGGCGTGTCTGGGCGCCATCAATCACTTGGCACGGGCACACCTGGCAAGCAGCTCCTCCTCCCTGTCCCTGCCCTTTTCTTCTTCCCCCTTCTCCTCGCCTGCCTCCTGGTCACCCCACCATCCTACGCCTGTGGTCTGCCGTCTCATCCCCCCCCTGCCCCCCCGCTGTGTCTGCCGTGTGCTGCCAGGTGGGCAGCATGCTGTCTGGTCTGATGCGGCAGTGGGCGCAGCTGCTGGAGGAGGCGGTGGAGGCGGAGCACCAGGAGGTGGGCTGGCTGGGGGGGGG